GTTGCTTAATTTCTCTGCTGATCAGTCATGTGACAAAACACTTCACCATAAAGCTGAATGTGAGCACAGATACACCATGTAATCTAAACCTCTCCATCAAGAGCCTGCATAGAATTTCTTTTTTGCTATGACATCTGCTGTGTTTGTAGCCTTTTTATAAATACCAGGCAGTGTTTTCCTTGTTGCTATGGTCCTTGTGGAAATGTAATGCAGCCAGAGGGAACATGTTCTTGTTTCCTTTGAATGGTGCAAAGCGAGTATTTGAAGGGGCTACATTAGACAAATATTAGCTAAGGCAAATGCTTCTCTCTGGCTACTGCTTCTCTGTTCATATCTCTTTAAATTAGGAGTAACCTTAGTTTCATTTAGCAATCTATATATATACATTTATTTCCACATTTCTGACTTGCCCCAAAGAGCAATAGATTTCAGAATGAGGTAGAATCAATAAATGCTCAGTAGAATAAAACTGCACAGTCACCATACGCTATAAAAATGTTGTCCACTGTAATTATTACTGCTATTAAAAAGGTCAATATCCACAAACAACATGGCAAATTGCTTATCTTACAATCATCACATTTTTGTCATTAAAACCCAGTTCTTAACATAAAGTGGAATCTCCTGGAAAATATTTTCAAGGCTCACATAATGAATTTTTTTGCAGTAGCATGGTAAAAAATTGCCTTCTTTGAGTATCTTTTTTTAACAGATCTGATTTTGTTTGGAGGAGGGATCTACCTGCCAGGTTCTAATTGGCTTTAAACCGAGTTTCAAATTAAAATGCCCTCTGAAATTTAAAATCATAACTTGGCTTCTAGAAGAAAGCATTCATTCCGTAACTCAGGGACCATAGCTGAGTTTGTCCTGCACTTCTTCAAAATGTTCAAGGTTTATTATCCTCTGGCAAACCATGGAGGACTTTTAATGGTATTATTGGTGCCTTGAATTTAGGTCAGTAGCATGCTAGCACCCAAAGCAGTTGTTCTGAAACCAGTGTTAATATATTTTGTAAGCTGTATAAACCTCGACGGAGTTTCTAAGTGTCACATTCTTCATTACTTACAGTCTCTGTCTCATTCCCCATAAGGGTAGTAGAAGTCAAGCACCGGGAAATCAGGGGATCCAGGCCATTCAAATATGTATAAAAGTTTAGTGTAAAATTAAGCTCTCTACAAGAATCTGAATTACTAAGGGTCAAGGCTGGAGTTAAGAATAGAAGGAATTCAAGATGGACTGGACTTAGATTTCTTATATATGCAAAGGGACTCATGACTCATGATGTATTTGATTCCTCCTTCAGGCTCAGCCTGGTCATTTCCTACAGTAATTTTACTAATGCATTGTTGTAATCTGGATGGCAGTTGTCAGGAGGATTAACTACCTACTGAAGCCCATTCCAGCCTGGAGTGCTTATAATTGGCACATGAAGATCTTTGACCTTGTAATAATATATAGATGAACCCAATCTCTGACTTGTTTTTTTTTTTCAGTAGAGGTGCAAACCATTATAGTAATTTCTAGACTTGAATATGAAATTGCAGTATTGATTAGGAAAGTAGGATTCTTGTTTAAACTACAGAGTCTTATGTTTTGAGTTCTTTTCTTTTTAGTTCAGGTGTCACAAACCACCATAATCATTCTGTACAGATTGTACTCATTGTCATTGTTGCTCTTCCCTGCACTCCTTCTAGCACCTCAGCATCTTTTTTGTATTGTGGTGACCAGAACTGAATGAGGCATTGCCAGAATGATCTCACCAGTGTAGTATAAATCACATCCCACGGTCTTGAGGCTATTCCTTTGTTGATGCACCCTATAACCTATTCGTATGATGAACAGCTAAGAGAACCAGGTATGTTTAGCCTAATGAAGAGAGAAGGCTCAGGGGAGAGATGATAGCAGTCTTCCAATACTTGAAGGATTGTCAGAGGGAAGAGGTATTGATTTATTCTCCCTAGCACCTGAGGGCAGCACAAGAAGAAATGGGTGGAAGCGCATCAGAGGGAGTTTCAACCTGGAAATAAGGAGAAATTTCCTGACAGTAAGCATGATAAATCAATGAAACAGCTCGCCTCCTGGAGATGTGGGTGCTCCATTGGTGGAGATTTTCAAGAAAAGAGCCTGGTTAGTGGTTAGAGTGCTGTACTGCAGGCCACTTCTGCTGACTATCGGCTGTTCAAATCTCATCAGGCTCAAGGTTGACTTAGCCTTCCATCCTTCTGAGGTGGGTAAAATGAGGACCCAGATTGTTGGGGGTAAGAGGCGGATTCCTTAAAACCACTTAGAGAGGGCTGTAAAGCACTGTGAAGCAGTATATATAAGGGCTATTGCTGTTAGTCTGGGATCCTTTAAGAACTCCCACTTGGGGAAGGGAGTTTGACTAGAAGACCTCCAAGGTCCCTTCCAATTCTATGATTCTATGCTTTCCTGTTTTCCCAGGCTAAGCTCAGTTTTTACTCACAGTCGTCACATATTTTTTTCCAAGGTTATCACTAGAATCTTCTACGTAGGCACATAAAGTTACATTCAAGACTAATCAATTTTTTTTTGGGGGGGGGGAGGGACTGCTGCTATTTTTAGTATCTGCATTTCTAGGCATGTGTATGTATAGCTAGCAATGATCGTAAATTTTTGAAAGGGTTGCTTGCGTATGGGGTACGTATCTAATTAGGATGACTGTACCAGTTACACTTTATCTTATGGAACGAGGTTGGCTGTTACATTGCTGGGTTTGAAGAGTAATTTGATTTTAACTGTGTGAAATAAATGGCATTACAATATGCAACACAGCAAGACCTGAAGCCAAAAGCCTGGAGTGCTTTCTCAGCGAGATAAAAGAGGAAAATCAGTACATGCAACCCTTTTGGCCTATTAGAATTATTGTTTCTTCTTTTCTTTCCCCTCTTTAGAAAGAGCATTGATTCATTGCTACTGTTGATTTAATTAACTGGGTTAGTGCCATTTGGGTTGGCAGCCTGTCTCTTTAACTGGGAATTAATAAAATCACTGTCATCCTAGACACTGATCTGTCTAAATTTCTCATTTAAAAAAAAGGCTTTAACCAAGGTATTGTCACTATGGTACTCCATGACCCTGCAACCAACCTCTTAAAATACCAGGTTATTGTACTGGTATTTGATCTGCACAATTTTTTAAAGAAAAACCTTCTCCGTATAGATTTTACATTTGAAAGACCAGAGCAATGAGGCTGATAGCAATTTTAAAACCAGATTGCATATCTAGTTATAAATGTGGATAAGCTTATTCCATTTCAGACACTAATGGATATTTTGTGTATAGATAGGCACGCACAAAAAGGCACTGAATATTGAAAAAAACATTATTTACCTTGCTCATCCCTGCCCCCAGAATAAATCAAGGCTGTTCGAGAAGAAGTATGGTCTCATTTTCTCAGGTTTTCTTTTATAGTTAAAAATCATTTGTTTAATTCTCCGTTTGCTAGCTTCATTTTTCACATTTTTGGGTTTGTTTGGATTTTGTTTTATTTTTTGCTTTGATTTATTTTCTTTTTTTCCATTCATTTGAGTGGTAATCCAAGCATCCTATTCTCTTTAAGTTCAATGTTTTTTACCTAAGTGATGAAGAATTTTCTGTATAACCAGATAAATGTTAATATCAATGACTGACTGAAAGGAGAGCCGTTTAGGGCACCAGGCTAAAAAGTAGGAAACCGTGAATTCTAGTCCTGCCTTAGCCAGGAAAGCCAGCTGGGTGTCCTTTGGCCAGTCACTCTCTCTCCCACCCCCCAACTCACTTCACAAGGTTGTGGTTAAAATAGGCAGGGGTGGGCTTCAAAAATTTCAGCAACGGGTTCTCTGCCCAGTTGTTGAGTGGGCGTGGCCATGGTGAGCATGGCCTAGTCAGCCTTCTGCATCATGGTGGGGGGCCGTTTTCACCTTCCCCGAGCCTCCACATGGGCCCTGCACTTACCTCGCATCCAAAGCAGGCCTCAAGGAGACTCCTGGGAGGGACAGGAAGCGGTGGGGCGGGGCTGGAGGGGCCAGCCAGGGGTGGGATTTGGCAGTTCTCTGAACTGACCATAACGTTAGCTATGGGTTCTCCCAAACCTGGGCAAATTCGTAGCAGCCCACCCCTGAAAATAGGAGAAATTGTGTTGAATATGTTCAGCACCTTGAGCTATTTGTAAAAATAATAAAGGTGGGATACAAATAAATAAATAAACACGTGTCAAGGTGCATGTGTCAAGGTGCATACCGAATTTGATTGGGGCATTATATTCACAAAAATTGTATTGATGCACCCCTTGGCAACCGTTTAGGCTTTTCATTTTTAAGACGTGTTAATACCTCTTCCATGTGTTTCAGAGACATTCTTGATAAAGGCAAGTGGTAGATACATTTTGCCTAATTTCGACAAAGCCCAAGGCATGCCCAAGGGTGATCTTGCAAGTGAGTGACAGATCTCTAACTTTACTACTGTAAGGTGTGATGTCCCAAGTCATTCAACAGTGTTCTCATGCATGCTGTATTTCCATAATTTAGTTCAGGGCACATTGGAAACAGTTTCTATTTAGTCTTGATATTTGACATTTCATGAGCATACTTTTCTTTTACTCATGGTTCAATGGCTTTTGGAATAAAGAGAACATATGTGTATATT